AATGGACCGATGGGGGGTTGTAAGGAGCCTGAGCCAAGTATCCGGGATCTCCAATGATTTGAGCCTGGCCAAGCTCTGAGAATATGGCCCATGTATGGAACATGAACCGACATAGGGCAAGATGAACCTACCTACCACCCATATTGTTGGATACATATGTCGGTATGGATGTCAGACTTGACTTCTGTTTGCCACACCGGCATGGGGCCCTGATCCTTGGGCCATGGCAGCTGCAGCGCTAGGGCGGAAGTCCGGTTAGTGCCCTGCCAACGGTGTACAGGGGATCACGAGTCAATGACATGAGGAGGGACCCTATGAAATGCAATTGATTTGTGAACCCCTATAGACAGAGGTCTTTGCCTGTTGACTTTGATTCTGGGGGGTTTCGAATTTCGATGGCTGAGTTTTGAGGGGTGGGATGGATTCAAATCTGAAGGTGGTGTCACTGAGGAGGAAGGGAGTACACTCTGACGAAGACCTGGCATGGAAGTGGGCATGATCCTGCCTGAAACGACGACTCTTTCCAAAAAGGAGGTCTTCCAATTCCATGGGATGTGTTCGCCGGAGTGGTTTTTGTAAGGCTGGTCAGTTGAACTCGTGAAGCCAACTATTCGTGTTGCCTGGTGGGGGTCCAAAGAGGGCAGGGCCATCCGATCGCTGTGTTCTCGCACGGCCGCACCTGATCGCTGCAGGTTCGACCGGTTGATGGAGGACAGCAACCTGGTTCTGGATGAGAAGAAGAACAAGAAGTTGCATTTCATTGAGCAGGACCTCTTGAATGTATCTCACCTGCAGGGCCCGGCCCCGCAGGGCACATCTGGACTGAACATGCTCTTGGAGAAGTTCTGAACCATCGCGCGCGGAAGGTTCTCCTTTTCTGAAGAACTGGCCACCTTAATCAGACTTGTTGGGATCCTTTTGGTGCCCGGTTCCACAGGGATTCCACTGGACTCTGGGAGACCTTCCTCGGCCCGAGGCATTCTTCAATCACAACTACAACATTCTGCCCATGACTCTCAGCTGCACCCGGGCCTACCCGGGGCCCTTATTCCAATGCCCCAATTCCAGCCGGCCTCCGAGCGGACGCTTGTGCGGTGCCGCGGGACCGGATGGTGCGGGTCTTCACCACGAGAACAGGTTTTTAATGGTTCGTGGAGTGCTGGATCACCCATACCATCGCGGTGAATCATGGTGAATCCGTGAGAAAGTTAATTTAAAATATCTAACGTGGTTCTAGCATCTCTAGCAAGCACCAGGCATTTCAGAGCATCTGCTGAGCAATGTCCGTAGCATTCCGTAGCTTTTGATTTTCTTTCAAACGGAGAGTAGGACATCAAGAAGGAGACGGAACTATGGACAAATCGGCACCAGCTGCAAAAAAGATATGACTCAAACACTACGTCGCACAAGACTGAAACCAGGGGGCACGCCACAAGCTATTTCATGCCATTTCCAATGGCTCCCCCTGCAGTTTTTAGCCAGGGTGGAAACAGGAAGGAGCTGGTGGCAGGTCTAAGGACCTTAGACCTATTACTTACATGGCTCCCTCTGCAGTCTAAGGACCTACAACCTCTATCCCGAACTACTGGACTTGCTTCCGTTCCTCCACGTGAGCCAAGACTCTGGAGTGAACAGTAGCATGTGGCCTTCTATGGAGCTGCCCTTGGACAACAGCATCAAGGTGGTGCACTTCTGGCATTTGTTCAACCCCTTCCAGATTACCAAGTACAAGGGGGCGCATAACCTGCAAGTGAATGCCAAACGGATCCACAAGCAGATGTGGAGATGGTCCCGCACTCAGCTCCTCTCCGTTGGAACATGTCGATCGACAGCATCGTGTCGCATGTGTCGCACTTGTGCTCATGTGCTGGATCGGGCGCATGATTTCAGGTATACCATCTTCTGGAAGCTGCACCAGGAAGGCCTGAAACGCGGCTCGGCCAGGTGGTTAGGAACCACGCGGTTGTGCCAGAAGGGGTGGGTTGGACAGATTTCGAGATCAATCACTTTGATGGCAAAAGAGGATCATCAATCATCCACAGCCGGTCGCAGTCACCGCATCGCCAGTTGTCACGTACACAGTGCTATTGGATGTAACGGAGATATCGAGCATTTTTTCTCCCAAACAGGAACGTCCTGGCGAGAGTTCCGGGGCTTGGACCGCCCCGGACGGTCGAAGGACGAAAGCCGGATGGTGGAACCCAGATGGAGCTCTGACAGAGAGAGAGAGAGAGAGAGAAAGACACCTCCAAGGTGGAGCACCTGAAGATTATCCCAAATGGGTTCAGAAGTGCTACCACTCCTCCAGAGCCTTTGGGACGGAGCAGCAAAAGCCACCTGAGCCGCACAGGATGCACCATCGTGGCGTTTTCTCTTGGTGGGCCGGTGGGCCTTCTCTATTTCAGAAGGGGTTCGTCTCTGGTGTTTCTGTGGGCAGTTTTTTTTGCGGATCGGGATGTCTTAAGTTAGTATATCAAGGGTTGGCCCAAGAAAGCCGAACTGTCAGTCAATCAGGTCATTGAGCTCGAATCTAGGCCCAAGTTTCGTCACCGTTGGTTGCCGTTGGTCCCAGGTTCGTCCCCGTCGCTTGGGGTGCTCACTGCCGCCACATCGACGGGGTGGCCTGGTAGCGGACAAAGGGACTGCAGCTGTGCCGGTTGTGAGCTTCGTCCAACCGGGTCCGCCGGAAGAACGTTCCACCCAACGTTTGCAGGTGGCACCCGAGTTCCATGCCCCAAAGACAGGGGAGGTTGGAAGTGCTCTTGCTGGCTCTTGCTGCCATCTCCAGGCCCTCCCCAGTCATTCGGTCGTTCAGAAGTGAGTGTGCAAGATACTGTGTACAAGGAGGGGTTTCTTGCACACTGCCCAACCTCAGCACAGCACATCAAGGAGCACCTTCCAGGCACCATTCCCCCAACTTCTCCTCCCAAGTGATTCCTTCAAGCAGCTCCAAAAGCTGCAGGCAATATCCCAAAAGAGTTGCAGCTAGTGCCTCTTCAGCTCTCGGGCGATGCCATGTCCTCTTTCTACGCCGCACCGGGCAGTGCGCCCGGCAGCGCGTCCGCGAGCGCCCGCTCCTCGTCCCGCTAGCGCCGCGCCGGCGCGGCGGCGCCGAGCTTCGATGTGAAGCTCAACAAGGCGATCGTGGAATTGGAGACGGGGGCGGCCATTCTGGACTTTGTAGAGACGAGGCAGTCTGGGGAGGTCTTGGGGGGAGGAAGGTCTTGGGGAAGATGGGAAGAAATGGAAGGTCATGGAAGAGAAGAAGGTATGACACGGTAACAACGACATGGTAACATCACCCAGTCAGCAGTTCCTTCCAGGAGTCGTTTGGTTCGTCAGTGGATGTGACCTGGGCGCCCTTAGCCTCTAAGTTCGGAACCCCGCCATGGAAATGCTGGAAGGCGTTTCTTCTTTTTGTTCCCATTCATTTTGCATTGAGTGTGGAACCCTCAGGTGGACTGAGCTGGAGGAAGCGCATTTGGTCACAGCCCTACATCGGCTATCGAAGAGCCGAGATGGTCCTGGACTACTGGGTCACTCTGTGTTGAAACGGGTGACCGCTGCGCTTCATCGTCGTGCGCAGCAAAGCTGCGCGGAGGCTAATGCACCAGGGGGGAACTTGCGTTCGATGACCCCGCGACATCTGGCCAATACCGTTTGGGCTTTGACGAGATTGTCGGCTAATGAGCCGCCGCTGATCAAGGAGAGCATGGAACCCGACGCACTGAGAGATCGAGCGAGCGGCGAGCTATGTGTTGTGTTTTCATGATTCAGACTCAAGGGTCCAAGGGTTTCTTGAAGTTGTGTCCGTGGTTCACACCTGGTAGACCCATTCATGTTAAGAGCTACCAATGAACTGATGTCGACCGTTGATTGATTAATTGATTAAAGGTCACTAGGCCCCTCCGTCCATCCCCAGTTGTTCGTTTTTAGCGACCCTTTAGCAATCAACAGGCTTGATGGCGCAGACCCCATGATATCGGGTCGATATCAACTGCCTCTTAGGTCTGTGCCATCTACTCTGAACCCACAGATCAATTCGAAGACAGATCCATGCGTCTCCACCCCCGCTGCGACTTTTCTATCTCCGCCCGTTCCCTCAGGACCTGGCGGAGGCCGCCCTGAGGCAGTTGTCCGAGTTCAAACCGCAAGAGCTTGCAAGCACTTTGTGAGGGTAGGTCGGGGGTCTCGGCCAAGGGCTTTAGCAGGGGGCGGGGTGGTTGGCAGGGTCTGCAGACTTTAGCACCTGAGCACTTCGGCGTGGGAAAGGAGGGCACCTCTGCAGAGGTGGATCTTCCATAGGCCACCAGGAATCCCGTCCGATGCAGTCGGTTTTGACACTGCAATCATGAATCGTTGGACCCAGTTGCGTGGTTTTTCTTGGTTTTTATATAGTTGAAAGAACGGTTCACCGACACCGTGGCACATGTACGCCATGTGCCCGATGATGTGTCGCGCTATGGCCTCCCCTCTCCGAGGCCGAGCTGCGTTTCTACAATGAACCCTTGATCAGCGCCATTGCCGCGGAAGCGACTTCCAGGATAGAAGGCCCCAAAACGAACAAGCGACACACATCCGGATTGTGGTTGTACTGTAGATGACGCACACACACACTTGCATGTCAAATGGCTTCAAGTTTGCTGGGTACCCTGAGAGTCCGCATGACTCATTTTGCTGCTATGGTGGGGAAGTTCATGAGTCAAGAAATGTCAAGAAGTTCTGGGGTAGCTAATGATTGCACACCAAAGGCCTGGAGTGATAACCGCAGCGACCAGCGGCGAAGAACCGATGGTCAGTCAGTCGTTGTCGCTCCGATCCATTGGGTGAACAGGGTGCGCCCTGCTCGGTGCGCCCCGAACCCTTCGGCTCCCCCTTCTGGTCATTTACCGATCTCCGCCTGGCCCGGATCCGGCGCAGGTTTCGACCCCAAGGGCCTGAGTGGTACGGCATGGGCGTTGAGCAAGCTGGGCGCCACCTCCAGCGCCTTCTTCGACGTCATGGGAGATGCCGTGGTGCAACGCTCCGCGGAGCTAGGACGACTGGACTGGACCCGAACGGATCGATTGAAGCACTGGACCTGGTCTTGGGATCATGTTAGGTGTCCACCTGACCGCCAAGACGGTGGTCCATGTTCCTGAAATGGTCATGAGTCATAGGTTGTTTCACTCCACCTGGTTTGGGAAGGTGGAGGCCAATGTGTTCGGGGGGGAAAGGCACCTTCGAGCCGAGGTCTGCCGTGTGAGACCCTGCCATCACCTAACGTACTGCTTGTTCGTCATATGCAGGGGAGATGAGTCGATCTTACCCTACAAGTCAAAGACCTCATTTTACTATTTTACTGGAGATGGTCATACAAAACCAGTACTCAAGGAGGTCAAGGACCAGGTTTAACTTGGTCGTGGGACTCGTAGGGTCATGTTTCCAGTGAGGAACCTGATGAGGCAACGTGCAGCAGCTTCTCGATCAAGATTCCACCAACGCTATCGTTTTCATCGGCGCTTTCGTCACGGAGAGTTCTTGCTGTTGCCGTTGACTCCACCTTCCTGGAGATTTGCTGTTTTCTTTTTCCGTTTGGGAAGGGAAAAGGAGGTGACAGGTTTTTCAACCCCCAGAGGAGCACGGGAGATTTCCAACATTGCTTGGGCCTGTGGCAAGTTGCGGCACCAGAAGCATTCCTTGGTCGATGCCTTGGCCGGCCAAGCTGTTCAGATCCTGGATGAATTTATCAGCCGAGACCTCAGTTTTCTTTCAACAACGTTTCGCGTGAGCATCCTGCATAGCATGCCAAAGAAGTTGGAGAGAAGACTGAGGCCCGTTCAAACCACCTGTCCTTTAAACTATTTGGTACTCGTGTCAAGTCGTTTGGTCTTGTAAAACATCGTTTGGATGCTGTGTTTTCGAGCGATTTAGATGCAAGATGGCAACCAAACGATACGCATTGAGCATCAGTTCAACACCATGCGAAAAATAAGTTGATTCCCTTTCAGTGAACAGGCGATTCAGGGCAACAATGCACATATTTGTCTTCCCCACAACGCTACAAACTTGTGATTTTGTGCGCCTGGGGGCTATATACTTGAGACATCGGGATGACTGACTTTCGGAAAGCCCCGGGGTGACTTAACAGCCATACGCTGAGTCTCAGATCTGGTCAGAAGGTGGAAGTAATTGAAGATCTTCAACTTGAACATCTATGGTCAGAAAGTGGATTGGAAGTTTGAAGTCAATCCATCCCAAAGAGCTAAGACTGTTTCGACAGTCTTGAGAGGTCAGCACCTCTCCAACACTCTCTGGGCCTTAGCACGGCTTCAGAGCTACCAGCGGCCCCTGGTCCGGGACCCCAAGCGACCGCGGGCTCACGGTCACAGCGGCTGCGTGCCGCGCGTGCGTGCCGCGCGTGCGTGCCGCGTGCGTCGGGCGGCTGAGGTGGATGCCATCTCCCAGCAGGCGCTGCGGAAGTTGCCGATCCTGACGGCCCAGGAGCGGCGCCGGCCGTTGGTTCCGAGCGCGCCGGCCGAGCGGCGGCCGAAGGGATCCGGCCGAGGTTGCTGGGGGGACCTAACTAGAAAGGCCGCGAGAGCTATGGGTCTTGGGTGTTTGGGGGGAGGTTTGGCCGCTTGGTGGAGCTTAAGAAAGTGTGATTGGAATGGAGCAGAGGGTTCCTCCATCACCCTTACTAGGCCTTACTGTAAGCATGCAGCACACACCCACAAGTTAGCTGTTCATGCTCACAACTTGCATCGTTGGGATCCAGGCTCCCTCCCCTTTTTTGTGTGCCATCTCCTTCGCTACGCCATGCCACTGAACCTTTGCATTTGCCCCCCCCCCCAGGTCCCTCTCCTCCCTGACCCTCCTGACCCTTTTGCTTGTCCGACCGAACCGGGGCGCCCCGGCGCAGGGAAATCCGACCGATCGCCGTGCGGAGGACCTGTGCAGCACCGCCTGGTCTTTGGCCATCCTCGAGGTGCGCGAGTGGACGTGCAGGGCTTAGAGACCCGGAGCGTGGAGCGTGGGTCAGCGCGGGGGTCAGCGGGGGTTAAGGGCGGCGGCGTCAAGAAGTTGTTCTTCTGGGTCACGAGCTGGTTGGTGAACTGCTGCTGCCTTGGGGCCCTTGGGGATTGTTTGGTTGTCAGATGTGCTTGGCTGAAGGGTGACAAGAGGGTAAGAGTCAAGTCTCCTTGTCAGCATCCTTGACGTCATCAAATCATCTCCTCGTCCTCGGCTCACCAGGTTGTTGGAGGCCGTTTCTGGCGCAGCCCTCGGCAAGATCAAGGCCTGCCAGTTGGGTTTGTGCCCTTGTGGTGTGAGGCATTTTTCTCCACCTGTCAGGCGAGGGTTGTTAGATTTTAGAAGAGGATTCCACCTCTCTGTCTCCGTCTCTTCTTCCAAATCGCCTTTCTTCGGGTAGGGATCGCTCGAAGTAGAGTAATTCTATATGTAATTCTTATTTGTCTTTTAACTCCTTCTCCTTCTCTTCCACTGATCGGTTCATAGACTCACAAGAGTTTCTTTCCAGTTCAGGCCTGCGGCGCCCAGGGCGTGGCTAACCTGTTATGGTCCTGTGCTACCGTGCCAGATGCCTCAGCATTTCATCGAGGGGGCGGGATGGGAGCTGTGGAGGGTGTGGAGAGCGAGAGAGCGAGAGAGGTCGAGCAAGGCGCAGTGTAACAGGAGTCGGATCATTGGGGATAGCATGGGATAGTCACAGGGTGGGGACAGTTGGATAGTTGGAGAGTTGGATAGTATGGGATAGTTGGACAGTCATGAATGGCAGGGAATCATGGAGGGGAGAGCCACAGAAGAAGCCATGTTTCCCACTCCGCGCTGATGACTTTTGCTGTGCTCCACTGCAGGTTGTACTGGAACATGCCCCTCATCGATGCGGTTGCTGAGGAATGTCAGGCTCTAAGTCGATTATTTGGGTCGCATCCTGCACGCGTTTTGCGTTTGGTGATGCGAGGCTTGGAGACGTGCCTGCGTTGGGATGCCGGTGCCACTGCGTGGAACACCTTCAAGTCGCAAGAGCAGGTGCGTCATCAGTGGCCAGGGCGGGCGGCGATCGCAAGCTGCCATCAAGTGCTCATGCCACTGCAGAACGCAATAGCGCGTGCATGGAAGTATTCCCCAAAGACGCGGGGGTCAATGAGTCTGGGATACGCTTCCTCGACACTCTTGCAGCCACCCCCCAGCTAAAAACCCATTCGGGGTGGGGAACGAGTTGGCAAATACCCCCTAACATTGCTCCCCAATGACCTGGTTCTGCCAAACGTCCATGTTCCAAACATCAACCCAAAAAAAAACCCACAAAAACTCCTAAACCGGTCCGGCATGCCATGTCTGAAAACAGACAGACCGGGTTCCTGAACCGAACCGGTTCATCCGGGACGCATCCGACGGGATCCGTCGCCGCCGCGGGAGGCCAACACGGCCTGAGCCTTTGCGAGGCAAGGTCGCTCGTATTGAGCTGGGTTTGTATTAAGGGTTTTTGTACATGCTTGTGCCCACTACCAAGCTGTTTGTTTGTCATTTTTTAGCTGTTTGTCATTTTTGTTTGTGATTTTTTAGCTTTGTGGCAGATTCTCACGAACCTTGACTCCATTTTTTCGTGCCGGGTCGGCAGGCTGAACGTGCGACGGGAGGCGCTGCTTGCAGCCTTCGCGTCCTTCGCCACGGCAGGCGCCGCGTGCCGGACACGCGGACACGCGGTGTGTCACGCGCCTCCGCGGATCCCAGATCTTCACGACATGGATTCACAGGACACCCATCGGTATTGGGGGCTCCTGCGTTAGAAATCGTCTTGAACCAATCCATGCGGAAGCGGCTGATTGTTTCTGGGGATGTTTGTGTGTTAACCTTCGATCTGCCAGGACTTGCAGAGGCTTCTCCACAGGACCCGAGGGATGGACGAGTTATGTTATTTGTTATTCCTTAGGCTGCGGAGGAATACAATGAATCTACCAGGACCCTCCAAGGGGTGTCCAATGGACCCCCCACACTACCTGTAGGCTTCCATTGGGCACCCCTTGCAGGAATTTCCGTGCCCAACTATTTGGCTTTACTTTGCAGCCATCGTTGGTCCATTGTTTTCTTCACAGAAGTTGTGTGGTGGTGGATGCCCGCCATCTACCCGAGCTCGATCTTCAGAAGTTGAAACTTAGCTGGGTCCCAGGACATTTCAAGCAGTGCCTGATCGTTTGCCAAGCAGGGCTATGCAGGCGGCTATGCTAACGTGTTGATGCTAACACTGCGAATGATCGCAGGAACACAAGTGACAGTACGTGACGTCGTCCATATGGTTCTTAAGTATCGATCTATAATCCTTTCTATTGGTCTAACGAGCCTATCCGCCAGTTGCAAGTCCCACTTTCAACACTGTGTCCACTTCTTGATGCCCAAAGACCTCCATCGAAGAGATGGGCAGAATAAGAGATCTAAGAGCCGATCGCCTCGACGCGTCGTCCCGCTCCGCGTGCGTGACACGTGGGCGTCTCGACACGTGGCGCCTTGGACGTGCTTTTGGCGGTCTCGAGGTGCCTCCTTCTTCCAGGCCCTGGCCCTGATCCTGCCCAAGCGTTTGGGGCAGTTTGGAGCACAGGAGAGGTCGAACGGTTCAGGCGGTCGCGCCGCGGCCGAGCCCCGCGCGCGTTGGTCCGCGGCGGATGAGGAGCTCTCGAACAGCGTTTGGGCCTTTGCCACGCTGCTGCTGTCCGCCGAGCCGCTGCTGGATGTGCTCGCTGAGGCGAGTGGACGAGCCTGTGTGTCCTTGTTCTTTTTTGGAAGCGATTTCTTGTGGAAGGGGCGGAAGGGGGGGCTTAGAGGTCTAAGTAGGTTGGAAGCCATCGCTACTAGGGTGGAGGCCATCGCTAGTAGCTTGGAGGTCGCTCTTCCTCACATCCAGCAACGGTCGAAAGGTGGTTTTGGATCACGGCAGGTGGCGCTGCCGAAGGTGAGCGCCTGGCGACCGCAGGAGCGACTCGAGCGGCACCGGGGGCGGAGAAGCTCCGGTTTCGGCGGAGCCTGACTCGGATGGTTTCGGGGCTGCGCCTCGGGGCGTTTCCAGGCCCCAAAGGGAAGCACCATTAAGTCAAAGTCCCTGGAATGGAAGAAGCAGCAAAGTGGAAGAAATAGGTGTCCCTTGGAATATTTAACAACACTTGTTCATGTCATTTTCCTCTATCAACCGGTGGTTTGCCCTACTTGCCATGATGCTTCTTCAAGGGGTTCCAACCTGAAAAAGGCCCCACGATGCTCCGGGCCCTGCACGCAGCCCGCAGGAGTTGGCGAACAGCGTTTGGGCCTTCGCACGGCTGTGCTTCCTGCACGAGAGCCTCCTCGAGGCGGTCGCCAATCGCCTCCTGGTGCTGAGGTGGGGATGGGCCATGAAGCGCTTTCGCGGCTGGGGCGTTTTTCATTTATTTTTCTCTCCCGTGTGGTGCATGGACCCCCCTTATGGTGGATTGTGACTGCCAGGTGGAGTGAAATGAGTCATTGGAAGTTCTGTGGGCGAAGTGAAATGAGTCAAAAGGAGTCCTTCCGAATGCTCCCAGGCCCTAGGTCCTGGCGCTCACGTCCAACCCGCCCTTCCTTGAACCTTGGTGCTTCCGCATCCTCGTTCCAGCGGCCCGTCGTTCGCAGCGTTGGCCATTGGGTTGGACCACGGCGCCCTAGACTCTCCACCGTGCGGACGCCAGCAGGTCCAGTGCGGACGCGAGCACCTTCACCGTGCAGGATCGAGCCGTTCTTCGGGACTTTTCTTTGCTCTGAAAGAGGTATATGCATCAAGAGGCCGTCCATCCCTACACTGATCAGGTCGATCTCGCTTGAGTCGTTGGGAGTTCATCATACAAGAAACTTCCCAGAGACACTCAAATACTCGCGGGTTTTATTTGGGTTTTTGGACCTCTATAAGTTTATAAGGGGCATATAAGCACTGGACATTTGCAGATGTCAGGCGACAGTATTTTTGTAGACCTGGCAGACGAGTGATCATCTACCGTCGACGGTAGGGCAGTTGAGCCAGGGTTCTGGAGACATTTGGTTGACACGGAAAAAAGGAAGGAATTACTGTACCTTGGCATGCGGTACTTGTTTGCAGTGCATGTCTTCCCTGTGTCATACTGTCGCAATTTTGCCCACCATGCGAGGAAATGGTCAACACGGTGTGGGGATATGCTCAGGCCCGCGCATTCAATTCTTGTTTGTGCAGTCTTGCCGGGCAGCCGGCGCGGACCAAAAACCATCGAATGCGGTCGAGTGCCAAGTCCTACACTACTCACTACACCCCACGACCCTCCAAGATGATCTTGCCAAGTTGGTGCTGTTGGACGTGTTCTCCGTGCACCACCCACGACGTCAGGTGATCTTCGCTCACCCGAAGCTGTTGGACTCCATTGCCCGGACGGCCATCGACGAGTGCAGCGAGTGGCCTCCCAGGGATCTGGCCAACAGCTTGTAGGCGAGGCGCAGGTGGTGTGCGGGAGGGGGGGGGGGCGTGGATTGGTACCGCCGCGAGGCTTGGGCGCGCTTGGTGGTGGTGAACGAGCCTTTGCTGAGCGCCCTCGGCCGGGCATCCTTGTCGCAGATCGATCGGATGAACCAGCAGGTGCGCGGGGTTGTGCGTTGGGCGCCTTGGGTTGTGATGGTGGAGTTATATAGTCAGAGTCACGTGGGTAAACTGAGGAGATGGAGGTACTCCAGGATTGAAGCCATGGCCAGGGATAGGATGCTTTTTGGAAACTGATGGCAAAAACAGTTCTCCACAGCTGAGAGCTGGACAGCGGCTGAGAGCTGGTCGTGGCAGGATCTGGCAAACACTGCTTGGTGCTATGCAGCGCTCGAAGTCCAGGCCCGATCCCCAGAGCTCCGTTGCAGGGAATCCGCGCGACCCATAGCAGCAGGCGCTGAGCTCGCACGCAGCGGTCGCGGTGTTCTGGAGTGTCCCTGGCAACGAGGAGGTGGTCCTCATCAATGCCATCACGCATCGTGCCTTGGCGGTGCTTGCGGTCGAGACGACCACGGAGGCCGGGGGTAGCGGCAAAGGGCCATGAACCCTACGACGACAGAAACACACACAGCACGTGGACCTCCCAACTTGGAGGGTAGGTATGCTCACAGTGATTCTCTCGATGCGAAGTAAGAAGGTCTTTGTGCAGAAATCACACCTGGCGCAGTGAATCCAGATGAGTGCAGGTGGCGCGTGATCTTGCTCTCCTGGCTTGGTCACTCGCCAAGCCGGTGCCTCGGACGACGCGGAATGGAGCCAGCTGTGATCAGAGGAGAGAAGCACATGGCCGCGAGGAGGCCTTGGTTGACCTATCTGGTGTTGGTCAAACTGCATATGTATCATGGACCAAAGCTTCAGCTTTTGATCCATCCCCACATGGGCACCAGACACCATGGGTCAACCAACACTTAGACTTAGACTTAGCCTTCCCCTGGCTACCGTGCCAAATCCGCTAAACTGGCTGAACCTCCTTCCTATGAGACAAACCCGTCCCGTCAAGTTGCAGACCCCCATCTGACATCACTTCTGCGAGTCCAGCTGTTGCCATCGCGTGTGCCACATTTCCAGGCTCAGCCTAGCGACCCTTCCGACCATGAATGCTGTGGCGGAACTCACCTTCAAGCAGATCAAGGCGAAAAGCAGTGGACCGCAGGCGCGCCGCGTGGCGCGGGTGCTGGGCGAGCGAAAGGTCCCCGAGCTCGTTCGGACAGCGCAGCCGGGTGGTCGTTGGTGCCCGAAACGCTTGAAAGTGGATTGGACCAAAAAACCTCCGACAGGGAGAAAGACACAACTGTTCGTTGGGAGGGTGAACAGATGCATTCGGGACCGTTTTTTTGAGAGACGACATCCCACAAAACGGTCAGACCAGGAGATCCGGCCGAAAGAGTAGCAAATGACCCAGGACTCAGGTCTCTTAGCTAGCAGCTAGACCATCGATGAAGACAGCATCGAACAACGTCAGGTTTTGGGGTTGGTGCGGCGTCCGCCCTCAGCTTTCATGTTTGATGGGTTGATGGCGATGGAATACAATTCTTTGATCCATCAGTCACCAGTCCTTCATGGTTGAGGTTCGTCTACCACTTGATTGGATGCTGATTGGTTGGCTTGGCTTGGCTTGAATAGGATGGGCATTCATTCAATCTGATTCCCAGTTCCGATCCAACGCGTCGATGGATCCATCTGAATGCTCGACCTTCGCCCCTCGCTGCGCTGTGCGAGGCGCTGGCGAACAGTGCTTGGGCGTTCGCCACCAGCTCCATCAAGCATCCGACGCTCGTCCAGTACCGACATGGAACGGGTAGAGAGCACCAGCGACAGGTAAAATGAGAGGATGGGATCATGACTCATGACAGCTTATATTGAATGTTCACACATCCCGCAAGGCTGGTGGGCAGATGAAAAACGAACGTCGTCCACACCAAGAAACCGCAAACACCTGATTTTGTGTTTGTTTCTATGTCTCGTTCTCCTCCTGAGGCCTTTGTTCGATGCCATTGCCAGGCCCAAGAGTCGACTGAGCGGTTTGTTGTTTCCACGGGGTGGCTCCGCGAGATGCCACGGGGTGGCTCCCCTCCGTTGGTCAAAAAGGCATAGCCTCGTGTTGCAACCACTTCTGGCCAAAAGCCAGCAGCTAGCAAGCCATGAGTCGTCTTGGATTCGTCCCAAGCCTGTGTGAAATTGGCGTTGAGGAGTGTTGTCGCTTCGCATCACATCGGCAGATCGCTGAAGAGCCAGGCTCTCTATGGAGACCCTGTCAGAGTTTGATCAGCAGGATGCTAAAACGGCCACTGGCGAAGTTGACACTTCTGCGGTTGAAGTGCAACAGTCCACTCTGAATGCAGATGGTTGATGAAACAACCGCACTCATTTTTGAGAGGTTTTGCACCTCCAGTCGTGGGGGTTTTGATAAATCAACCGTCTACCATAAAATGAAGTGCTGAATCCACCCTTGAGTCAGCTTGTTGGAAGGGCAAGATGCATGTGAATTGCTGAAGGAAGGCATCCTGATCCTAAGACGTCCTGCAGGAGAATCCTGTCAGCCAGGGACCCCCTCAGCATGGAGATTCACATTCAACATCATCCTACATCATCCAACAACCACAGTTTCATTTTATGGTTTCGATCTGCACATGGCAACTTCTTAAAGGGTCTTGGTTTCCATAGGGGCCCTGGCTGCGGACTCTCTAGCAGGTTTAACTGGGTATAGCAGTCCGGGTGGCTGTCAGACCGGCAGGAGCTCACCAATCTCTCCTGGGCCTTCGCAGAGACCCGCTGCCGCCACCTCCCCTTGATCGAAGCCAGGCGCGGTGCGGGGTGCCCTTTCCAGTGGTGGTAGTGAGAGTGGGTTTCGGTGGCCCTGATGTGGAATTCTTGGGTGCTTCCCCCTTGGGGAGGCTGCATTCGTAGGTTGGCAGCCAAGTCTGCAGACCCTGACGAGAACTGCCATGCCGGAACTCCGCCCCCCACGGTCGCATCCTTTTGAGAGGGGCTTTGCTGGCGCCCACCGTTTTCTTTCCCCGCTGTTCACCGCGACATCACCGTCCAATTCTTGGTGTGCGTCCTCATTTGCGGAACTTCCGTCTTGAATCTTGACTCATTTGACCCTACCAGTCTGGGAGTCATCATCCACTACTACCACTTCGGGGTAGTTCATGAGTCATTGAGTCATTTTCCTGGACGACCTCAGTCTAGACTGGACCTACTGGCTGCTCCCGTGAATGGTCCGTCGCCAGTTCTGCCGCCCTCGTGAACGCCTTGGAGGTCCGTGGCATGAGCGAGGAGGAGGCGTCGGATCGGCACTCCGCGCTTCGCTCGTCGCGCGCTGCGAGCGCGAACGCGAGACAGTGCCTTCGTTCGGGCAGATTCGACCATCCAACATGCGAACATGTGCCACCTAGCCCTGAGGGAACGTGTTAGGGAACATGTCATCCCAAGGGAATGGTCTACCCACCCATGGGTGGCTCCGACGGTCCGTCCGGCAAGGTCATGTCACGTCACGGTCGACCGGACCGAGACGGAGCCTGCCGTGACGCGGTCGCTCGTAGGTGGCACGAGGTGGATATGCCATGGCGTGGGCACAGGCGTGAGGGGCGTGACGTGCCACGGCAATCGGGCAGGGCGGAGCGGGCGGAGCGGGACAGGCGTGGCTGGGGCCCGGGGCGATGCGGAGACATCCTATGCTGAGATCTGCTAAGCGTGTTTCGTTTCTTTTTCACTTCCTTTTTCCTCCTCTTATAGGCTTACTCTCTGACTCACTAACATGGAAGTGAAAAATGACCCCTTGGAAGACTACTTTCCTTTACAAACAGGTGGTTTTGCACTTCCATGTTAGTGAGTCGGAGTGTATAGGGCTTCGGTCCGGTGAGTGTCATCCATTTGGAACACTTTGGTTCATTGCAAGTTCATTCGGCTTGTCGGATGGCGACTCCGTGCACCACCGGAGCTCCCCGGCCGAAGGATCGCCATGGGCGTCCTGATTTGTCGCGCGCCTTGGTGTCGCACTTCATGGTCCGGAAGCCCAGAGGGAGTGGAAGTCAGACCGATGACTAGATGAACAGAAATGATGCCACCTGGCTAGGGAAAGAACGTGTACAGCAAGTTGGGATTTCCTCTTTCCATTACCTTTTTTGGATGGCCAATGAACAGCGCGGGCCAAGGGAAGTCCTGCATTGGTCTTGCGGGGCGTTCTTTTTGGGACGCTGTCAGTGCCTTCGCCTACGGTTTTCATGCCACCCAACAACCCGACAGAGTACTTCAAGAGGCTACATCTCAAAGGACCCCCCCGCAATTGCTCTGGCCCTCTTAGGGCCCATCAGATAGGGTCCAGGACCAAGGCTGTGGCAGGTGTTAATTTCTTTGAACATCTTTGAGCCAGTAAGCCTTGTGTTGTGTGAGATCCCAGCACACCGACTCAACACTTGCCCGTTCGCGGGCGCTTGGGCTGGAGGGGACCGGATCGGCCTCAAGCCTTGGGCTGAGGTTGGGGCAAGGTGCCACAGCATGGCCTGGGGCCTGGTGATCCAAGATGAGGAACGATCCGGGGCCTGGGTTGTTCCTTTGTATCGAGATTGAATCAATTTAAAGCTTGCTCCATGGTGTTGGTTGCCTGAATCGCCAGATGGCGCGCAGAACCTTTGAAGCCAAGTAGTTGATTGTAACCATGCCCAAACGTGCACTAGATGGATCCGTGCCAGCAGCTGCGAAGAAGAAACTTGCAGCCGGGAAGAAGTATGCAGAGCAGGAGGTCTTCATTCACAACGACTGCAAACTGCAGAAGCTCTTGCGAAGTCTAGTGCAAGCTGGCCAAGCAGCACCAGTTGAAAGCATTGGTGTCATCGTTCAATCAGTCACATCAGGCCAAAAAGTCTATGACCAGAACCTGTGCCAGTGCTTTTGTGCTTTGGGACAGGTGATGAAGGGGGCTGGCACAGTGAAAGGCCTTGTGTCCATGCTGAACGCCTACCTGGAAGTCAAGAGCGGGATTGTCTTGGCAGAAGAGGTCCTGGAAGACGATGAGCAGATGTTTCTGATGGCTGCGGCGGTTCTCAGTGACCAGCTGCAGGCTAGTGCCAACCTTGTTGAGCATGATGTGAGAGATGCCATGGAGGTGTTCCGCGAGCAGCAGGGCAACCCGAGCCTCTACGAGCTTCTTGTGGACAAGGTCCATGAACAGCGGCCGAACATGGTCTTGCCGCCTTGGCCATCCAGCGGCCAGTTCACGGTGTGGATCGGCGGTGAGCCTACGAAGGAGAGCACGGCTCGGGGCTTGGCTCTTGAAAGGAAGCGGATGGAAGTGTGGATGGCTGACTCGTGGAGCGCCGCCACCACGCTTCGGCTTGTGAATGGGCAAGTGGTTGACTTGATTGGCAGGCCGCTGTAGGAGTGGCGATGTGAGGGGGAGGCCTTGTGTGACGATAGCTTTGTGTGCGCATGCAGAGGCCTGGGGCAATCTATGTGATTGCTGGGGCGGCTTCACTTCATGATGGGGGTGAGTTGAGCCATCACTGTCGCACGGTGTGGAAAAAGTGGCTGAGCGTTCTGAAGCGGTGACAGTGCACCCAGACACAGCTTGTGCCCACCGGTCTCCATAGTACACACGTCACCCGTGAAGTGTTTGAGTGCCGACCGGCGGTGCAGCCAGGAGTGGCGTCATCATGCCCCACCCAACGGTGCAGTGACAGCGCTGGAGGTGGGGCTTTGGCGGCTTGCAAACACAAGCGCCCCATGTCCTTGTCTTGAGTCGTTCGACGCTTTGCTTCTTGTCCGGTGGCCGGTGTCCATGGTTGTGAAGACGTGTGAGTGTGACAGTGTGTGGGAGCCCAAGATGGTTCGGAACAGGTTGGGGTTCTTATGGGTCGTAGTCATAGCCATACCATACATGGGTGACTAAAAGCACACGTTGGCCTCAATGAGTACATGCGATTTCCCTAGTAACTGTGGGTGGGCATCAACGCTTGTAGGCTGCCGTGATTCCCGTAGGGGGAAAATTGTGAAAATTTGGTTGAGTAGTATTTCTTTGCCCGGCCCAAGTTCCTCCTACCATCTTGGAACCTGTTAGCCAGGAACTTTGGGTTTGCGTGTGTTCGGGGGGTGGGTTTGCTGGAAACTACGTATGTGGGAACGGAGGGTTGTGATATATTGTGATCATTGATGTCGATTGCTCATATAGAGATCTTCCATTTGGATGGTGAGCGTTTTCACGTGTTTTGAGTGAAGTTGAGATCTACAATATTGTCCTGGGATGGCGTATGCGCCTGAAGCCCACCAGATGTACTTTGAACGCAGGCGATGGCGCGGACCGCAAGCTTCGACTTCGGGCGAGATGAAAAAGTTGTTCCGGAGGGCGGCGCGAGCCAATTGGATCGAGGTGCAAAAGTCGGCTCTAGGCAAGGTTGGGGCACACGGGTTTTGAGCCCCTTAATTTGCAATGTCGGAATCTCTGTCAGGGGATGTTAGTCGGCTGAGCTCGAGTTTGGTCGCCTTGTCCTTTCAACCGTGTTTCCCTTCCGCCAACGACGTGCGAGACAACAACTGAGATTGAACAGGCTTGAGGATTCAGATTGGTTCTTGCATGTTCTTGGGATTTTCCATCGGCTTTTGTTCCGCCAGCATCTCAGATAGCTGGGTGGCCTCAATGAGTGGGGAGGTGATTTGCTTCGTGTTTCCTGGGGCTGCCGGCCATGTGAACCCCTCACTGCCCATCGCACGGCGCTTGGTCCAGCAGGGCTACCAGGTGGGGGTCGAACTTGGAAAGGTCAAGCCAACAGGCGACTGCGGACGACTGGCGCCATGATCACCATTCTTTTGACTGAATTTCATCCCAAACGATTTCAAGATCTAGTGTTTTTGGGGCCCGACTTCCCAACAGCCCCTACCCAGCCGCCCCAACCCCCACCTCCTTTGCATTCTGCGAGTTGGGGGGTCTGCAGGTGGAGTATGTCTGCAGCGAGGCCCTGCGTGCCCCGATCGCCGCCACGGGCGCGACCTTCCGTGATGTGGACTTCGTGGTGGTGCCGCGTGCGGCGGGGGACGTCTCCAGCGCACGCGAGATGATCGTGGCGCGGCAGTCGTGCTGGTGCCGGAGGGTGAGAAGGCATAACATGAACCTTCCAACCAACTACGGCAACAAACTTGCTGAACTGGGTTGATTATGAGGGATGGCGTGGCAGACATTTGTGCAGATGTTGGACAACCTATAGGTATCTGAGTGGAGTGTTTTTGGTGTTGCACAACGCAAGGCTGCTTGTACAGTAGTATGGCACCTAAAGCACCTGCTTAGCACCTGCATGGCAAGCCACCAAAAACTTGTGGAAGATGGTTCCCCTTTAGCCCATGGGTTGCGGTACCAGTCTTGGTGTGCATTTTTTCATATTTTTTCACTCAGCTCACCCGGCCTTAGGTGAGCACCCTCCAAGCCTATGAGGATCCTGGGGCCAATGCTTGGGCGTTGAACTTCGGGAGCCTGGCAGCCAGCAAGCTGATCCCCATCTTCGTGGACTTCTTACGCGAGCTGGCACCCAAGCTGCTGGTGTATTGCTCCTCGGAAGTGGTGCCCCTCCCAAAAGGATGGGCCACACACGGTCCGGTAGCACCCTGGGCGTGACATAAGAACTGCCCTTCTGGAACTAATAATATGGAAGTGGAGCGAAAACCACCTGTTTGTAGTGGATAGAAAAAGGTCTTCCAGTCGAGGCGCAGGATGTCCACGCCCAGCCCCAGGGAGTGCATACAGTAAATGATCATTACCAGGACCTTCCTGTCAGGGTGCCCTGGCTGGAAGTCTCTACACCACGAAGGGACCTCCATTGGACACCCCTTGGAAGGTCCAGGTAGGTAGTATGCACTCCAAATCATCCAAACGGAAGGGTCCAAGAAGACTGTCGTGACGTGGGGGCAGGGGGTCCATGGTCGAATGCTGGAGCCTTGGCCACTAGGCCACTCTCAGTGGCCTTTTGCAGCAAGAATATGCTCATTTCTTGCACCTAACACTCCTCCATCCCACCTGATTGGCTATCAGAAAGATCAGAAAGGGGAATTACTAGGGTGGTATGGCACGCAGGTCCTGTGCTATGCTCCTACGCGCACCTGGCGGCTTCCCATCTGAAGATCCCAGACGTGTCGCTGCTGACCGCCAGCGGCCCGGGCTTTTGGGATGCGGCGTTCACTACGCATGGTGGGTCCGCCAAACAGCTGTGTGAGGCAATTGGCAAGAATGCCGCGAACAACAAGGCCGTTCAGGAGATGCGACAGATCACAACAGGAAAGACTCATGTGTTTCAATCCGTTGGCAGTCCCAAGCCCATTGGGGAATTCCTCTCAAACTTTTGTGAGTACTGTTTGAGGCTTTTGTTCAGACGATTCGAGCCGATTGTGCGAAGCGCCTCCGTCCAAGCATCCTTCTCTCCTCCCGCCGTTGGCGTGTAGATCACCACGCTTTGGGTGGTGCAGTGGTGCTGCGTAGGTGTATAGGTGTTGCTTTCATCTCCAGCCGTTGGGCTTCTGAACCCGACACACCTGCTGAGTTATTCTTCAAAACCGGCTGCTGGGTCGTTCGTTCTGAACCAGGAGATCCGGGCGTTCCTGGGAAAGCCCGAGCTGAAGCTGAACACCTCGGAGCCGCTGATCTGCGACTACTACACCCGCCTGAATCTGGTCACCACCATTCCGTCTCTAGCGGACCCCCTGAACGACGCGGATGCGCAGTTCTATCGCGAGGCCGGGGTTGTGGCCCCGCGGGCCTTGAGGCCTGTCATTTGGGCCTTGAGGATCTCGGATGGTTTGAGGTTAGATGAGGTTCGGTTAGCATTCCTGTCGGTTTTTGGGTGCTTCTCATAATCAAGCCATCCAACTTGTTGGACACTTCCCCAAAATATACCAGCCTTCGGGGAGATGACGCGACCGACCCCGAGACAGCCTCCTTTCAAGGCCCGAGACGGACCTCCGGTCTGGTCCCGCCCAGGCGGGGCAAGACTTCCACTTCATCGGTCCCTGTTTGGACGAGCCCGGCGAGGGCGAGAAGAGCGAGGAGTTGGAGCTGCGAAGGCTCTGGGAGGAGTGGAGTTTGGGGAAGGGGAGGAGTGGAGCCGGCGTGATTGGATTGGATGAGTGCGTTTTTTGGGGGGGCAGTGGTGTTCTGATGAGGGCCAACTTCTGGCTTCATGGGGGGTGTGGGCAAGGGGATAGGGTTTTTGTCATAGGTTTGGGGCTTTGTCAGGTGGTGCTGATGGAATGACACCTGATGAAGCCAGTTGGTACATCTTCTCACTGCCGTTGGTACATCTTCTCACTGCCGGTGCCCGGTTGGCCCATGAACCACACCCTTCAAGCTTCAGTGAGTGGTTGCTGTGCACCACCTCGGACACCCTCCAGGAGATCCAGGAAGCCATGGCCCAGAAGCGCGAGATCATTTACGTCTCCATGGGCACGGTGCTCACCGGCGATCATCCAGACCATGGCTGGCATGGTCAGAGTGGCACGCTGCTCACGGGCCAGCAGCTCTGCCAGGCCGCGCCAGCTCACGAGCGCTGGAGGTCCACGGAGTCCACTGCGATTCCACGCTTTTTCGGTTGACTCTTGTTGGGGGGCCGTGGAGGCACAGTTGGGGTGGGGCTTGGAAGGCACAGAAACGAATCCTATTTTCTTTCCATGACACTGGAGGCGGTCTACCGTGCCACCTTTCGTGCTCATGGCGATGCGGATTCCCAGTTGCTGGTGGTGGCGCTGGGGAGAGAGCCGGCGGAGGCGCTCGAGGGACTGGAGGTACCAAAGAACTGCAGGTGTCTGAAGCACCTGCCGCAAGTGGAGCTCCTGACGAAGGTCTGGAGCTGGAGAACTGTGTGGTCGGGACTGTGGGGAGAACTGCTGGGGGGGTAACAGATCTAAAAGGACCATAGTTGAAGGGAATCACCAGAAGGCGCTGAAAGGGCCAGGATGGCTAGGGCCAGGGTCTGGAGATGTTTTGTTTTGTTGGAGCTGCTGGTGAAGGTGGATGCAGTTTCCCCACAACTATTGGTTGGAACACTCTCAACCGTTTCCCCCACTGAAGCCCAAGCCGGCAACTCTGCTCATGCCATCTCATGCCGACGCGATCCAATTCAGAACAAGCTACTGCCTTCTTCCATCAGTGCCATGTGTCTTGTTTTTTCTGCCCAAGCAGGCTTATTCCCCCAGGTTCGTGGTGTGAACTTGTCAAGAGCCTCTCATGCCTCTCCCATGCCTTCTCTCCATGTCTTCTCTCCGGGCCCTAGCAGGCACACCTCTCCATCCCTACCCTTTGACTTCCTCAGGCCTCCCTCTTCGTGACGCACGCGGGGCAGAACTCCTTCACCGAAGCCCTGAGCGCGGGCACTCCCATGGTGGCCTGTCCCGGCTTCGGGGATCAGCTGGCGAACGCCCAGCGCGTGGAGCGTTTGGGCGTGGGCCGCCAGGTGCCGCGGCCGGCGGCGGCTGGAGCCGCGGAAGCTCGGGTTGGAGGAGGTTATTTTGTGGAGAGGACGTTTTGGTGCTACATACAGATGCAAAGAATACATGTACCCAGACGCTCATGGGCCCTCATATGGAGGGGTCGGACCCTCATATGGAGGGGTCTGGGGTCTCAAATCCCTAGGGTTTTGAGGTACCAAGAGCTGTTTGGAGCGTCTGGGTACAGTGCAAACATAAATACACAACTAAGAACAAAAAACACCTTTTACACCAGGAGTCACAAAACCTAATGGATAATGGGCACCCTAAACCTCCATTAAGCACACCTTTGTGACTGCTGGTATATGATATGACTGGTTTCAGGCCCTGGGCCCTTGATGAGAAGCAACTATTTCAGGAAGCCGACGTGGTGTCCGCCTTGGAGACTTACGAGGCGCACGTCTGTGAGGCGGTGGGCACCGTGCTGAGGTCCACCGAGTGTCGCGCGAAAGCTGGGGCGCTGGCGGAGGAGGTGCAACGTGGTGGTGGAGCAACGAAGGCGGTGGAACTCATCCTGGAGGTCATGAAGTGACGAAGTCACTGGAATTCCAGACCCACCCGTTAATGTATCATCCTTGTGGGACGGCTGCGTTGTAGCCACATGCTGCCGAGAGAGAGACCCACCCATTGAATTGTTTACACAGATGTATTCGCAGATGTTTGCTGCGTGACTGGTGCCAAAGAGCCGGTTTCAGCTTGGAAGATTGAAAGTTGCCGGGGTTGGGCTGGCGTGGCAGTTTGAATTGAACTCCCCATTGTTGTCATGAACGAGCAGGGACCAGACCATGATGGTTGATCACCGATCTGTCTTTCCCTGCTAGTCCAGGAATGAAGCTTTGATCAGATTTGGACGCGTTGGACTGATGGTTGATCACCGCAGCCAGCTTGAAGCGATGGGCATGCGACGGGCCATGAGTCACAGTAGGCGCTCCCGGGTGGGTCATGCGGGTCACAACAGGTCTTCAGATGGTATCGAATGGTGCAGAAACACACTTGGAGGCAGTAAGTAATAATAGAGTCACTATGAAGAAATAGGAATGCTGCTAATTAGTCATAACAAATGTTTCCAAAGCGTAATTATACAATCAGTATCCAATACATGTGGCCACACAAGGTTTGACCTGATCTGATCTTGCGGTTGGGCTTGTGCCCCATCACGAGAAATACACGCGTGGAAGCGGTGCATCATTTCACTATCATGGCGGGCTATGACATTGAAGATGGGGCACTGAAGTCCTGCCAAAGCAAGGAGATGCGGATGCAAGTGCTAATTCATGGAAAAAGGTAGAATGGGATGTTTCTTCAATGCTTTTATATATTCATTTGTATTCATACAAGCCTTATTCATGGAAAGACTCTAAGACGGTAGAACAGCGTTTCTTCAGATCATCTGGGACCTGCCGCCAGGACTCAGTCTTCAGCAATCGCTCCTGTAGCCATTGCTCAGGCACATGCGGGGGTTCTTCCGCAACCACATTTCTGTGCCTGTAGAAGATTTGAAGTGAACATGTCAAACATGTTCATGACATGTTCCAGGCCGAACTCCTGCAAAAACACGTTTCCATGGGCCAAAAAATCTCACAGATCAACTGAGATCAACTATCTTCAACTGAAGAGCGAGCATCATGAGAACTTGAGAACTTCACCAGTTGAAGACAGTTGATCACTGGAAAATCAACCATATAGTTGTTGGTATACCCACGAACCCATGAAAATCCCATGAGAACTTCACTGGCGTCCAGTGCCCGACAACGCACTCCTTGAGCCGTGTCCGAGCGCTTCGCGCAGTCAGTGGAAGCGGCGTGGTGCGGGTGCCCCAGGACGTGCTGGGCGACAGGACGTACTGGCTCTTCCGCAGGAAGTGAATGGTCTGCATTGCCGTTATCTTTGGCCACACCCAGCTTCCAAGACTTGCGACCGACCCGCTGCCGAGGCCTTGTTCGACACACCTGGCTTCGTTCAGGGCGCGCAACGCAGCAGTCCTTTCATTGACCCCATTGGCACCTCTGTCTTCGCACCTCGCCGCCACCGGCGCGCCGTTGTCCCGCCCGCGCGGCGGGTGCGCGCGTTGTGGGCGTCGGCGCGTGGTCTGCGTCGGAAGTGTCTGGCGACTCGCCGGGGTCGGATCTCCTCCGTTGGACGGGGGGGTGTATTTTAGGAGGCCCTAGCCAGGGGTCGACGGGTCTATTTCCCCTTCCAGGAGCTATGGCTAGATCAACTCAGTGGTTTTTGGAGGTTCCCATCTTGATATGCAGAGGGGCAATTAGTTATCCTTGGACTTCTTCACATTGTTCCATGGATGGGAAGTTCAGGACAAACTCTTAGTGAAACACTAGCAGCTCTAGCAGCTCCGAGTGAGACATCCTTCATGCGGCGGATATGCTTGGGCACGTCGAGCACATCCCGCCCAGGAGCTGTTGAAGATTGGCATCGGCCCATCGAGCAGTCACACCGTCGGGCCCATGCCACTGGGATGCCAGGCTTATCAGGAAAGGTAGATTCAGCTATACCTGAGTTCAATTAGCTTTAGCTACAGGGCAGGATCCTCCCACACGCCATGACTTTGGGCTCGCGAACCCCCCCTCCCACTCAAGTGACGGTCTGCTATTGCACAACCTGCCTGGAGTTCATTTCACCGACCTCCAGGACCTCCGGGCACCGGACAAATCCAGCTCAGACGATCCCGTGCAGTTCACGTCGAGCCCTGCGAGCCCGCGGGACGCCGCGGGAGCCGAAGTCGCCCAGGTTGGCGTGCCGGAACTTCGCGAAGCGCCGCTGGGCAGTGGTCGGAACCAAGAGCGGTGGGAGCCAGTGGGAGCCAAGGATCACCGGGTGTCCTGTCGTGGTGTGGTGTGCTTCATGTTGAGGCTGTTGAATCTTCAAGCAGGATTAGTACCTGGGCCATCCAATGGGTGTCCAATGGAGATCCTCAAGTAGTGTAGGGTAGTCCATTGGACACCCATTGACTGGTCCTGGTAGTTCTGTTGTGGTGTTCTCTTTTCTCCACATCGGCCACCCCCTTTGGAGAGCCACACCTCCCAGTCCGATCACCCCCCCACCGTTCACCCCGGATCCGAGCCAAACATCGAAGGCTTGGCCAAGCAGAATCTCTTGAGCGAACTCTCCACGATCTTGGTGGAACTTCGGGGTTCATTGGCACTCACCGGCATTGGGCACGGCACCAACAAGGCCACTTGGAGCACATCTGCCATCTTGCTCACACTTGGTGGCTTTTTGATGCTTTTTATGGGCTTTTCGCCCACGCAACGTGTGGCATCTGGCGAAACCAACGCGCAGATTTGGTCACAACGGGTGACCAATTAAGCACAGATGCGTTGGCGATGTTCAAGCTGCTGAAGTATTTCACTTTCTGTCGTCCTCTTTCGGGGAGTCATTTTGGGGGGCCTTTTTCAAACCGACCAAGTTGGTTGCCTTCAGACATGCGCCATCCGCCACAGAAAGCCATGCAACCAACCAATTAAAGACCATACAATCCACCCCCCCGGTACTTTTCGGGGTTCCACGTGGGTCTGCAGCTGGGGACTCCGCCAGGGACTCCGCGCTCCGAACGGGACTGCGCTGCTCGGCACGGGGAGTGAGGCCTGCGTCCTGGGACTGCACGGCGTGGCGCCCGCAGAGGTCGATCCGGCGCGGAGCCCAAACCGGTGGAAGGAGGACAGCAAAGATGCAACAGGAAAGCGTCTTGTTTTGGAGGACTTCCAAATGACATGCAGGAAATCCACATCCAAATGATAACATGCAGATCGAGATATAGGTCATAGGAGTCATAGGTGAAGATTTTGCTAGGTGAAGAGAGTTGGTGGACCTCGGGAATCCACGGTGTGGTCGACCTGAAGTAGGCGACGATTGAGCCTTTCCTGCTGGATGTGAAGGAGCGAGGCGGGATGTGAAGGAGACTTGCTCGAGCTTCAGGAGAGGTCGAAGGAATAGATAAGAGGACAATGATCATCTTCAGGGAGTGTATGAGTTCAAGGACGTTAAAGGCATTAAAGGTATATGATTGATCATATACACAATGTATCATGGAAGACGAGTAGAGGAGCTTTGGGGCCGGAACAGCCCACTGATATCAGGATACCCCCCGCTTT